CAGAACTGACTGGGACCTTGTCCCTTGCATCAGACTGAAGTCCGGAACTAACTGCATCGGATCGAAATCCGGAACTGACCGGGATCTTGTCCCCTGCATCGGACCGAAGTCCGGAAACTAACTGGGCATAACATAGCATGACATAAACATATCAACTAGCATAAGCATATATACTGCATACTGCATCGGACCGAAGTCTGGAACACATAACACAAACATAATTGAATCACAAAGACATCAAGCAATCTAACTATTGCATCGGACCGAGATCTGAAACTACTGCTAACTAAACCGGCCGACATTGTGGCCGTAGACCCGTTCCTACTAGAAGGAAACTCACATCGTAATGTTGGCTGTTGAGATGATAACTCTAAAAGTGGCTGAGTGCTACTCCGGAACTGTCCGGCTACAAATCCCAAAAACACTAGATCATGTACTCGTAAATGCCCTCAGGATAAAATGACTATTTTACCCCTAGTCAAAGTCAACTCCCTGGTCAAAGTCAACTTCCAGTTGACCGGACTCGCCGATTCAGGGCGCAGACTCACCAAGTCCCTCCATTACTAACTCTGACTTTAACTTACCGAGTCCCCTTCCCCACTCACTGATTCACCCAGAACTCACTAACGAAGAAAGACGGGGGACTCGCGACTCGACTCATCGAGTCCGAAGAACAACTAGCCGAGTCCTAGCGTGCAGATCTCATACAATCGATCCCAATCCTTACCAGAGCATCTAACTCTTAGATCTAAGCTCCTGGGACCATCTGAACACGTAAAGTTGCTAACTTTATGTGTAACTAAAAAGGAATGAAGCTATTTCACTCAAACTCTACTTTAATAAGGAAAACTCATCCGACTCGCCGAGCTGTATGAACAACTCGTCGAGTCTATGACAATCTTCATCGGACTCACCGAGTTGCTCATCCAACTTGTCGAGTCCACGGCTATCTTCATATGACTCGTCGAGTCAACCTTGCGACTTGCCGAGTCCATTCAATCCTTTTTCCATATAGACTTGATTTGAGCCATGCAGCGACTCCAAATCACAGTTCTAAGCTTCTAGGGCATGCTTATCACGTAAAGTTGCAAACTTTACATGCATACATGGCTTTAAAGGCTTCAAATGTCAAATCTAGGCTCTTAATGGGGTTCTAAGCTCAAGAGGGACCTCAATCACGACCACAACTGAAACTTTACACTTCTAGAATGCGATGAGGGTCTAGATCTGAAGTATAACCCGATCATAAGGCTATATAAAAAAGGATTTGGGATATTTGGGTTTAAAAGCAACAATTTGGGGACAAACAAGATCTACTAGATCAATAAGCAAGATGGAGACTTTATTACCAGAAAAGATGACCACAAATGAGTGTGTTCTGGATCTACTTCCTCTTCCTTGAACTCTTCAACCTTCTCCTTCTTCTACTTGCTCCAAAAGTTCCTTCACAAGGTAACAATCACTCACACGCTCTTTAAGGGGGCTAGGGTTCGGTAAAGGATGCTCTGAGGGTCATGGAGGCGAGGTTGGGGCGCATAAATGCGTTTAAATAGGGTGCAAACCCTTAAAATTAGGACTTCATCCAGACAGGCGGACTCGCCGAGTCCCAGCGTATGGACTCGTCGAGTAGCCAACTCAATTTGCGTGATCATCATGTCTCTACTCGACGAGTCGGGCTACAGAATCGTCGAGTACCCTATAAGAAATGAAAATGCTTTATTTAAATCACATACCAGAAATGAGGCGTTACACAAAGAGCTAGCAAGAGGAAAAAGATAGAAAGGGGAGAGCTGATTGGCTCTTTTTTTCGTGATTCACACTTGGTTTGTGGTATTCTTTCTCGTCCTGAGAACCGATTGGGTAAAGACATGATTGAATTATCATGTTTTTCGCTTTGACAATTTCACAAATAGGTTAGAGTAAGGTAGAGATGAGTAATGCAACCCATATGTTAGATGAAATGCTGCTGGGAGGGACAATACACAAAAATCTGAATTTGACTTAAATGGACCTCCAAAAATCCCTGACTTACATATCACACCCCATCTTAATTCAGCTCACAAACCAAGTTTCTGAGATTACTAAAAAGACCCTACATTTAAATATTATACTTATTTTCATGTAATTGAATTATATTATACTAATTGTTAGTGGTTTAAAAAAATAAAATTTGATTAATATTTGTGTATAAAAATGTTTGTGTATTAAAATAAAGTAATTTAATTAAAATAGAAAAAAGAAAAAAAATAGAGTGCTAGGAGTGTTACCACTCTGGTGGGTTTTGTTTTTTGTCCGCAGATCTTTCTAGCCTCTTCTGTCTATGCGGCACAGATCACGCGCAGACATTAGTCTTCGCAGACTGTTTTTTTTTTATCACTGCAGACCTAAAAATGTTTGCGCGCCCTCTTCTTGGCGCAGATGTGGACCAAAGTCTTTTAACATCTTCATACATCTTCTAGCCTAAAAAAACACATACACTTTTTTTTGAATTTATATTTATTCCAACTTTATTAGTGATAAACAATTTGAAAAAGAAAAGTTACAATACTTAAAAAAAAGTTTGATGATACAAACATGAAATTCTTAACAAATTTATAAATAAAAGTTTATTACAATAACGGTCGTTGAAATTGTTTATATAAATATGAAAAAAAATAATATATTCTTATATTTTTTGTGCCAAATTTTATAAAACATTATTTAGTAAAGCATCGTCAATTTCTTAGAAAAAATATTTATAGCACGTTTTTAATTGATTTAATTAAAAAATCGAAGTTTATTTCCATTAATTTATATATCAAATTCTTTGATTCCTAATTACAATGTTTAGGCATAACTTTACGACAAAAATTGTTGGTTTTTATCAAATATATACGTGAATTTGTATCATTTTTATTTACAATTATTATACAATAATATATAAAAGTTGATTTAGATTTGTTAATTATTTATAACAAAGTTATAAATATATAATCACTTTGTAGTTTAAAAAAAAACAGTTTATTTCGATTTTAGTTTGTTTTAGTAGACTGTAGATGTTAAAAAAAACAAACGAGTCAAAGATGATGTGGCAAGATGCTAAGAGTATTACCACTCGCTACACACACTTTTCAACTAGTTTTATAAATATTTTTTTCTAAGTAAAATATCTTAAGATCCACCATTATTTTTAGGACCAATATATATATATATATATATATATATATATATATATATATAAAAGGCAATAAGATAAAAAAAGATAATAAAAAACTTAGTTTTTCTAAAAAGAAATAATTGCTTATATTTGTCAGTAAATATAAAATTAAAATGTATGTATCTTCTAAAGTTCAAATGATAAAAAAAATGCGTAAATTACTGAAATCGTCTCTGTAATTTAGGTAAAATTGAGTGTTTAGTCCTTAACTTTTTTTTGTACTCGTACAATCCTCAATGTTTCATTTTATTACGCGCCTTGTCCCAATTGACATTTTTTGTCACTCTTCTCCGTTAAGTATATCACGTGCCTGACACACTAAGGGCATATTCGTCCTTTTATTTGAAAACCCTTTTTGAAGGTTGTATAACGTGTTTCTCTCTCTCTCTCTCACTCTCTCACTCACACACACACACTCTCTCTCTCTCTCTTTCTTTCTCTCTCTATTCTAATCACTTTCACTTCATCTTTCTCCATCGTTTTTATTCTTCTCTGCAACAACAAAGCAACAATAAGAACCCTAAGTTGTGGTCACCCAACTGTAATACGAACATCAACGACGAAGAAGAACCCTGGACGATGATTCTATGCTTGTACCAACAAGGTAATTTTTTAACTCAACCCCATTAGTATAAAAACCTTTGACGAAGGCCAAATTATCAAATTTTTAGGTTACAACTTGTGGTTTTATTGGCTGGGTTGGTGAAGATGAGTCTGATCATGCAAGAGCTGACCTTTTACTTCTATCAAAGCTTGAAGATCAGAATTTGAAGTTGAGGATGCTGCTACTCTTCAGTTGGGTTTTTTTTGTTCCGATCCTAATTTACAAGTTGTAATTTAGTCGATGTAATTTATAGGGCTTTTGATTTATTTTGTGGGAATTGACAATTATGTTGATGGTCTGTGGGAATTGAAAACCATCTGCCTTCTTCCCTACACCATCTGCTTTCTTCCATGCACCATCTGCCTTCCGTTTCCTGCTTGGTGCATCATTACATGCACTTCCACTAGCAATCTGACCTTTGAAACTTCTTGCATTATGAGCAATATTTTTGCATTTCGAACATGTCACAGATTTGTTTTTCCTTGAAGCACTATTCCCTTTCACCAGATCTTCCACATCAGACTTGTTTCATTTCTTTTTTGGTCTTCCAATAGGGACATGATGTTTCGGAGGTAGCAATGTGGTAGGGAAAGGATATTTTTCCCACATTCTTCTTCCATTAATAGGTTTAATCTTGAAGGAATACATTTCCTTCCATGTTTTTAGCCAGTAAATGGGATGAACCCATGATTCAGGCAACCCCACATCTTTGTTGTTTTTTCTCATATCCCATATTGCAACTAGTGCATGCTTACATGGGATGCCAGTAAGTTCCCATTTCCTACAAGAACATGTATGTTGAACCATGTCAACAACACACTGGTCCATCCATGGTCCAGTGACTTGGTATTCACCATTCCCACAAAAAACACCAATACACTGTGATACCTCATTTTTTCCAATACAGTTGTTGCAGTTGGAGTCAAAGGTCCAAATGCCTTATCGACTACCTTTTGCACTGTGACTATCCTTACCATTAGGTACTCTCTAATGAATTCTAGGCAAGTGATGATCGGTTGTTCACGTGATTTTTGAAGTTGACTATTAAGAGACTCACACAAATTATTTAGAAGACCATCACAATGTGCCCTCCCTGCATTACAATTGAAGTTTAAGCTAACATATGTTAGTAACTAACAAAAATAAAGGTACATTAACTAAAAAAGGATACAAACCTATGAAGTGTGACCTAGCCCAGTGCTAAGGTGAAATAGATTTAACCCATTCATAGCAATCATTGTTCAATTTCTTGAAATCTTCCATTGCATGGTGAAATTCTTGCACAGTTGTTACAGTTGCACAATTCCATAACATGTCCTGAAAGACCCTTCCCCTCCACTGTTTTTTCATGTTTTCGTGGATATGGCGTAGACAAAACCTATGTTCTGCACTTGGAAAAAGTGTACCTACTGCATGCAACAGTCCCTAGCAAATACAAACATAAATAAAATCAAATTGAATTATACATGTGTAGTTATAAAGATGACACAAACAACAGATCACCTTATGTCTATCAGATATAAATGTAAAGTTGGAGTTACTGTGCAAGTCGGGGTCATCACCCAAACAATTTAAAAACCAAGTCCACGAATTGATGTTTTCGGCCTCTACTACAGCGTATGCCAAAGGATAAGTACAGTTGTTTCCATCAAGACCCTAAATACAAATATTAAGTTAGTAATTAAAAACATTAAAAATAGATGAGAAAAAAAAACAAAGTATAAACTTACCACTGCAGTGAGGACTATTCTTGGATAAGGACCATTCATAAAAGACCCATCCAAGCCAACATAATCTTGTTTTCCAGCTACAAAACCCTTCTTCAATGACCCTAAGCATATGTATATCCGCTTGAATATTCTTGATTCACAGTGGGGATTGGGTTCGGTTTCAACTTCGATTTTCACGGTGGTGTCTAGGTTTCGTGTCGAAGTTCCAAAATATAGTCTCTTAATATAGAGTATTGGCCTGCATAATCACCTCTCACATGAATATTTGCCTCGTTTTTTTCCTGAAATACCTTCGTCTTTGAAATGTCACATTGGTATTGGCGTTGGAGTTGTTCTTGTAAAGCTCTTGTAGGAATCGTGGGGTTACTTTCCACCTGTTGCACAATTTGCTTGGATAAAAACTTGTAAGTACAAGCTTTCACAGTCCTCGTTTGTAGACATACATGTTTTTTCATACGTACGAACCTCCCAATCTGCATCCTTACTCCACTTGCTTGCATATAGGACCCACGGGCACTTCCTTTCTTCAACAGGCCCACCAACACCTACTTCAATAAGGTTTGGTATACTACCTTTACAAACAGCCCTTACCCTATTTTTGTCATTTTTAATTATGACAATCTCTATTCTAGTCTCGACAACATGTTGTTTTATTTTGTTTTTCAACTCTTCAGATGAACCAAAACTCTGATACAAGTAAAAGGGATCAGTAACACACGCTTCACTATTTTCTTCTACCTCTCGTATTGCTTTAATTGAATTTCTTCTACTTTTATCCCCCCCCCCCCCCCCCTCATCAGATGACAACTCAAATATCAATATGTCATTATTAAGCACCTTGATTTCTTCATCTTCCTTACCATCTTCTACCTTCATACTTGACCCTCCATTGTCACCCATCCATTCTGTATTTTGGTCAATGTTCAAGAAAAATTCTTTCATATCTATGTCAGGCTCCTCAATCATGTTATCCTCATCTAATAGGAAGTCACTATCTTCACTATCAGTCAAATCATCACCATGCACTCAAATGTCCTCACTTTGATTGACCTCATCTTGTACAAATGCAGTAACGCCTTGATCAAACTCTTGTACAAATGAAGTAAAGTCTTGATCAAAGTCATTTGGAGGGTTTTCACAATGATCAAAGTCTTGATCAAAACCTTGTGTTTGAAATTGAGGCTCATTTGGGGGTTTTCCACATTGTTCAACTTCTGGTATGGTAGAACCACTACAATCCCCTGTTGTTGATGTCTTCCATTCTAAGAAAAGCCTTTTAGAATGGACATTAAATATGTCTTCAACATTGTCTTACCATGCTCTGTATAAACTTCAATAAGTTTATGTTTCTCCACATATATCCTCAAGTGGTTAATATCACTATCACAAGCCAAAGCAAACAAACTAGTATCCAAATATGATAATAGTCTTTTGAAGTGATAATACAATAGCTTACCTTCCTCTACGTAGCCAAGGATGTCCATCATTTCATCAATATCATGAACAGAGAACTCGACAATGTCCACTAAATCAACATACTTTACTTTTCCCTTTATGTATCTCCTTCCAGGAAACTTTGTAAAAACTCCATTATAAAACAGTTTAATCGAGAATATTAACGGATTCCCACCTGCGAGAACGTGAAGCTTAGGTTTTGAGAGTTTGTGCTTTAGATGAGAGTATTAAACACAAAAATACTTACTGTAAACTCGTCCAACGTCTATTTCCGCCATGTTTGCTCGAATCCTCCACCCCACCATTGTTGCCTTTAGGAAATCATGATTGAAATCGAGTAGGTTAGGGTTTTCTAAGTGATTTAGTTGAGAGAAGTGGTATGTGTAACGTAAACGAGAAAGATGATCGGGAAGATATAAGCAACGTTTGCCATATCCATTTAGGCACCATGTGTAAAAGGATAAATATACCCTTAGTGTGCCAGGCACATGATATACTTAACGGAGAAGAGTGACAGAAAACGTCAATAGGGACCAGGCGCGTAATAAAATGAAACCTTGAGGACTGTACGAGTGCAAAAAAAATTAGGAACTAAACACACAATTTTACCTAAACCACAGGGACCATTTCAGTAAAAATTTAATATATTTGTTCTCTAGAAAATACAACGACTGAAATTATCAAAATCATGAAAAACTGAAGAAATAATCCTTGGTTAACGAAACATCGTCACAACTTAGCCCCGTGTTCATGGATGAGTTCAACGTGGGTTTTTCGAAAACTAGGAACCAATCTTCCGCCATGGCTCTCCTCTCTCACTCACTCTCCCAGCTCTCCAAAGTTCATCCTAAACCAGGAACAATTATGCCGTCTGTTATCCATATCGGGAAGAGAAGGGTATTTCAAGGTTGGATCTTCAATCCATGGCTCCTTAATCAAGAACCCAGTATTTAATAACCTTCACAACCCTATCGAAAATCAATATCACGTAGCTATCTGGAATTCCCTCCTCTTCGTCTATTCAAAATGTGGCTACTTGTCTGATGCATCCAAACTGTTCGACAAAATGCCAATGAAAGATGCTGTATCCTGGAACACGATCATATCAGGGTTTTTCACCCAAGGTCTCTACAATGTCGGATTCGATTACTTCAAAACCATCTACAGTTCTTCTGGTGCTCATCGTTTCGATCGTGGAACCATCACCACCATTTTATCTGCAAGTGAAGGATCGCAGTTCTCCAACGTTAACAAAATGATCCACTCCTTGGTAATCATCCATGGCTACGAGCGGGAAACTACAGTAGCAAATGCCCTAATCACATCGTACTTTTCTAGCGAATCTTTTCATTCCGCAAAACAAATTTTTGAAGAGATCAATGATAGAAACGTAGTTACTTGGACAGCAATGATCTCAGGGCTCGCACAAAATCAATATTTTGAAGATAGCTTGAAGGTGTTTGTGGAAATGCCTAGAGTATTCGTCTCTCCAAATCTATTAACATACTTGAGTACGTTAATGGCATGTTCTGGTTTACAAGCACTTAAAGAAGGGCGTCAGATCCATTGTCTCGTTTCAAAACTAGGCATGGATTCAGATCTTCATATAGAAAGTGCACTTATGGATATGTACTCTAAATGTGGCAGCATGCAAGAATCATGGCAGATTTTTGAATCAGCTAGGGTTCTTGATGAGGTCTCCATGACTGTAATTCTTGCAGGTTTTGCACAAAATGGATGCGAAGAAGAAGCTATTCGTGTGTTTGCAAGAATGATGAAAGAAGGAATCAAGATTGATTCAAACACAGTTTCTGCTATTCTAACTTCTTTCAATGGCGACACTTCCTTATCTTTTGGTAAACAAATCCAATCTTTAATCATTAAAAAAGGGTTTTTCTCAAACCCATTTGTGGGAAACGGACTAATCAACATGTACTCAAAATGTGGCGAATTGGAAGAATCAATCAAAGTGTTTGAAACAATTCCTGAGATGAACACAGTTTCATGGAACTCCATGATTGCAGCTTTTGGTTCTCATGGTGATGTTTCCAAAGCTCTTGAACTATATGAAAAGATGAGAGAAGAAGGTGTGGAGCCTACAGAAATTACGTTTTTGTCCTTGCTTCATGCTTGTAGTCATGGAGGTTTAGTAAACAAAGGCATGGAGTTTTTAAAATCCATGGAGAAAGATTATAAAATTAGTCCAAGAAAAGAGCATTGGGCTTGTGTAGTTGACATGTTGGGGAGAGGTGGATTTTTGAATGAGGCGAAAAGTTTTATAGAGGGACTACAAGTGAAGCCTGATGTACAACTCTGGCAAGCATTGTTGGGTGGTTGTAGTATACATGGGAATATGGAGATTGGGAAGTATGCAGCAGGGCAATTGCGTCTTTTGACACCGAATAGTCCTGTGCCTTATGTTTTGATGGCGAATATTTATTCTTCAAAAGGGAGGTGGAAAGAGAGGGCGGAAAGTATAAGAGGAATGAAGAAGGTTGGAGTGGTGAAGGATGTAGGGATAAGTTGGATTGAGATTGAGAAAAAAGTTCATACATTTGTTGTTGATGATCGTATGCATGAGGAAACCGAGGGTATTTTTGGGATTTTGTTGGTTTTGTTTAGGCATTTGACGGATGAAGGGTACGTACCGGATAAGAGGTTTATTTTAAGACATTGGGATGATGAAGGGGTAGTTTTGTCATTGCAAAATCAAGATGAATAATGTAGAAAACTTAAGTCTTTGGTGTCTAATCAAATTAGATTTTATTAGAATATTTTTGGAAGAAATAAAATAATATAATATGAATGAATTATAAGAAATTGGAATGTTATGAACTATAATATGAAGGAATTTTAATATGTTGTTATATCATAACTATATCCCTAGGAAACTAGGTTGTTCAATAATCAAAACCAATTTCCATCCATGCTTATGTTGTGTGTCTCATGAAGCTTTGATCAATTCTAATAAAAATGTGAAAGAGAACAATCATAAGCAACAATTTGATTGATTACTTCACTTGGAGATAACTTTCATGAATCTATTGATTGATTTGAAAATTCCTACGGCTTGACCAAAAAATGATGGCCCCTCCTCCGTATCATCTCCACCTTCTCCAAATATTATCTGCAGACACAACATTACATGACAGGTTGTACTGTGTTTTAGTAGCGTGCTGAGAGAGATGTTGATGAGATAAAAAGACATGAATATCCTCCTGATCCACATCATTAAAAATAACCCTAGAAAACTTGTCCAGTCCAATCTTGTGTACTAACCTCAAGGTCTTCTGAGACAGGACGACTTATCATTTCCCTGGCTAGTAGATAACGATTTGGTCTATCCTTGTCGTCAAAGAACACCTTCCATAATCTAAGTATTTACCAAAAAAACATGTGTTAAAGAATTAAAAAAAAAAAAAAAAAAAAATAGGTGACATGACATTAGTATTAATTAATTTTTAAGTAATTACCCAGGATAGCATCTAAATACAGCGCCAGTAGGTAGAGGCTTCATTGAGTACACCGTTGTAAAAGATCTACAACAATGTTATTGTTTGGTAATTAGAGCATTTAATGGACTTAATTTGGTAAGTTATTTCTTGCATTAAATGCATCATTTTCTAAATTATCATTTTCTAAAAAATATGTAAGAATGTCATATTTATTTATACCTTAAGAAGTATCTTCTCAATTTCCGAACATTGAATCCAACTCCAACATCCTCACTAATAAGACGTGGGTTCCACATAATCAAAGGTCGTGGCTAATATGATGCAAAAATAAGATAATTTAACCAAATTATTTAGTATTATTTATCATAACATAAGGAACAAAAAGAGTGCATTTTTTATCCCGTTTTTGTTGATTCACATCCATTTGTTCTCGTACATTACAATTTACATACATATAAAACAAGACTCACAAATATATCACAATAAACAACATTTTGTTTTTCTATTTTAATGGAAAATGAAAATGAAAAATTACCGGATCATCTGATAAATCGGATGCTATTCTCTCTACATAATCCAACATCTGATAATCTGGCACTACCATCACAATAATTTCATCTTCTTTCTCCACAGGCTTTCTGTCACTTAAGCTGGATAAAATAGGGACCAAAAAGAAATAAATTTCCTTTTTTGGACCTAAACAAAAGAAATCAACTAACCACAGGGACCAAATTTGTAAATTACCTAGCAAAACTGAAAGTGGCATCATTCCATCTATACTTCAAAAGAGCAGCAGCACCAGCATCTGGAAATATTGCTTTGACTCTCTAACCATAACCATTGATACGAATTAGCAGCTTGAATCACAAAATGTGAGTAAATGACCATTTTACCCTTCTACTAACCTGACATCCAGTTTCCTGGATGAGTGCATCCACAAAAATTCTAGATAGTTCCCAGAGTTCAGCCTGAGCACCTTCATCATCAAGAAACTGCAACTGTGGAATCAAAAGCTCCACCTGCAAAAAATATCATGAATGTGATATTTTGACATTGTCATGTTTAGTTATCATTGGATTTAGCTTGAAAAAGTCACAATAGTTTACAAAATCCAAGTAAAAAACATTCAAGTCACAAAAGGGTATATTTTTCTCTAGTATTTGATATGGTGATTGGTGAAGAGTTTGTAGAACATACAATGGCTCTCATTCCTCCTGAAGACACAAAAGCAGCAGTTGCTTCACTTGATTGTCGAACTGCACCCTCCAAATCAGAAGGCAAGCAACTGAAACACATTTCTCAATTTCCTCAACTGCTTTCACAAAATCGCATTTTCACAATTCTTTTTTGAAATTCAGATTAATGCTTCAACATTTTCACTAGATTTCGTATAGAAGGGATCAAGGGAACTATACACAAGCTTAACTTCAAATTACGCGAAATTTTGAATATCGTAACTAAAGAATTGTTTAAATAATCATATGAAAGAAAGCATTGAAAAAATGAGATTCACCTGTCACCTTCTTCTTCTACTTCTTGTTGAAGTGAAGCTGATGAGATTTCCTCAAATTCGTCATTTGAAGATTGTCCTTCAAACTTGTCAAACTTGGCATACGTTCTAGAATCGAATGGAGGTCTTTGGAGTGAAATTCCGTTGTAGCCACATGATTCAAGGGGGTAGATAGACGATGGGAAGCAGGTGGAAGAGGGTAATTTGGGAATAGACGCAGAAGGAGGAGAAGAAGAACAACAGATGTTTGAGTAATAGGAGGAAGCCATGGAAGATTTGGAAATCAGGGAGGCCATTGATTACGGGAAAGGAGGGGATAAGTGTGGTAACGTTCCGGTGTGGACGGGTGCAAGCACCATCCAACGGTTTCTTCGATTACGTATTGCCACGTGTCCAACGTCAGTTTTAATAAAATAATTAATAAACACAAATTTTAATAAAATAAAAATATTTTGTTACTTAGAAAATAAAAATTACACATAATAAAAATGTACATACCGATAAAAGTAACTAAGATTGTGTCAACACTAATTCTTCTGTCAGAATCCATGCTTTAGGTTGTCGGAATCCATGTTTTAGGTTTGACCATTTTTTCTCTTCCACCAATTATTTTTCTTAGCGGTGTGGAGAAAGTGAAGGGGGGTTGAATTTCTCGTATGACTTCGTCATCTAAGTCATTGAAGCTTTGAGTTTGAAGGTGGTTGAGTGGGGTTTGGCTTTGAGTTTGATTTGGTGAAAGTTAATCGAGAAAAACAACAAAGTTGTTGAACATGTTGGAGTTAACATCGAACACTTGCACGGGGTAGTATTGTCGGATATTTTTGTATTGAAATTGTGGAGGGGATTGAATAAGAACATCAAGTTGGAGACGATAAACCGGGAGTGATTGATCGAAAGCGAAAATGCTTTTAGTTGGCATAGTTGAACTAGAAAAACTTCTATCAAATTTTGAGGTTGGGTTGATGGGATTGTTGGTATTCATTTTTCTTAGAAATAAAACCCAAAACAATTTTGTCTAATTTATTTGAATGTGAGATGTATTACTTACGTGGCTTTCAAAAACGTTTTTGTGTAATTCATTTAAATGTCTAGTCAAGAATACGATTGTTTCTGTTTCCAACTACATAATGGTGTAAATTACATGTACGTTTTTTACTTTAAGGATTAAATGTGCAAGACAAATTAAAAAAAAAAAAAAAAAGTTTTACCAACTAACTCAGATAAATGACCAAACTTAATTATGCTACAATAGCATTTTCCTTTAAAAAAAAAAAAAAAAAACTAGGATTTGAAATCTTACATGTAAATTTGAACCAAACATAGGAGTTGATTTGAATAAAAATTTTAAATGAATAATAACATAGAAAGCATTATATTTTGTCACTTTTGAAGGTTTAACTACCCTAGCTTAATTTTTGTTAAAAAGAGTCACATATTTTTTGATAAAAGTGTAGTGACAAAAGAACATGGTTTGGTATGCGGAATTAAAGCTTGCACAATTGAACATGATGATTTGGGTGTTCAAGAGATATATTGAATGTATATGGTGTTTACAAAAAGGATCTAGATCTAGACTACATAATTAACACACACTTACACACTCACTTCTACATCTCTCAAAGTACACCTCTACAAGTGGACAAACCCACCTTATATAGAGGTGTTTACATGTCTCTCTCTCACTCTAACTAACAAATGGGTCTAAAGGCTAAAGCACCACATGCAAGTGGGTTTTACAAAAGTCAAACATTTACAAAGTCATGAATGAATAACTTTGCAACCCCAACATTCTCCCCCTCAAAGTTAGGAATGAATGACTCACTTCAAATCTTCCAAAATCAAGCACTACGCGGTTCGAGCCTCAAAGGTGACACATGTCGAAACGAACTTCAATCTTCAATTCTTTCATGACTCTTCAATTTGGGCTCTAGGACGTGGACCAAACAACCCGAGCAACAACGAATGATCCAGAGTATTCCAAACTCCAAATAATCACCCAAAGTTGCGCATAAAAACACACCCCAAAAATCTTCAATAATTCCAAACCCATTTCAAACACATCACTTCCGAACATCCAATTGCATCATCTCGTAGCTCCAAAACTCCAAGATCACTTCGGTCTTCAAATCCGCGTAATATGAAAAATTCAAGTTCGAATTTCCCATATAAAACTTCTCCCCCTTTTTTATAATCGAAATTTTATTATAAAACTACAAGGAAAAAGAACGTGCTTTATTCGGAATTTTTCATGTCAAAACTCCCTCTTAACATGTGGCATAAACTTTGTGCTTCAATCCGGAAAACCCAAAAAATATTCAATTTTTATTGTCGTTCACGAATTGCCTTTAACAAAATTTCTCAAAAATGGGTAGAAATTGTCAATTTCAAAATTCTGCAGTGACCCGTTGCGCCAAAAACAGTCAAATATGCGAAACACACTCCCATTTGTGAAACTGGGTTGAATGTGTAAATTCACACAAACTGCAGGGACTAGATTTGAAAATATTCCAATTTCTCAAAATTTTTACCCCAAATGTGAAACTGGGTAAAATTTGCCATTTTGCGAAGACTGCAGGGATGCGAAATGAAAATTCTGCACTTTTGTCTTTTTATTACTCCGTTTTGCCAAGTTGGACCACTTATATTATTTCTTAAAAAGAGCAGGGACCAAATGCGAAACTCTTAGCTTTCTTCCCCAATTCGCATTCTACTGTAAAAGACTTAGCATTAAAAGACTTAGCATGCTTCGCACATTTTTCATTTTGTTTGCATTTTGACTCCAAAATTGAACAAACCATCAAATGCGAACTCCATTTATACAAATGTGAATCTCAGTTTGATTCACACAAATGCGAATATAGTTTGGCTTCGCATCAACAAATCAGCTGTATCGCCAAATGCGAAATCCAATCCATAAATGCGAACCCAATCCAGATCTTTAACCAAATGCGAACTAATCACCAAATTCAAACTCCATTTACACAAATGCGAATATGATTTCAGAGACCCAGATGCGAACTCAATTAAGACCGAACAAATCAATCTGTTCATTCATTTCTTCAATCGGCATCAAAAGAACTCACCTAAACCAATCTTTAAAATGATTCACCAAATGCGAAGTGAATACCAAACTGAATCACCTTCACATCCATCTTATACCCTTTGACAATATTCTTCCCTGTATACACGAATGAACCCAGCAATCGACTCCAAAGTTTGAGAAATCGATGCTCATAACCATTCGATTCCTAAACCAAATCATCTAAGAAAAATCGAACATTGTTCTTCATACCCCAACTTACTTCTCGCACATCAAACTATCGAAATTGAAACACAGTCGGTTTTGTTCATCTTTGATTTATTATTACCCAAAAATCAAATTTCGATTTCAACCGATTCTTCAATAATCGAACTCAATTTTGACTTCAATCGTTCGATTCTGTGATTTGATTTCAGTTAAAATAATCGATTTTGACTAAAAGAACTTCTAGTCGAACATTCTTCATCTGTTCTTGAACAAATATCAAGAAGAATCATAAGAACTGAAAATCGATACTTGTTCTTCATCAGTTTCAAAGTTCTTGATCAAAGATCCAATGTTCAATTTCATTTTCATAACTTGATCATAACCGATCTTTGTGATAGAACTCAATACATAGAATCGATTCTCAAGTTAGACTCAGCAGTTAAACTCAATCGAATTCAAGATATAAAGAAATGAAGACGAAGGTAGAATCAAATATAAACGATTAAGAATCAAGAAACGATCTGCTAGAGTTCAATGGTACAACTTGTAATGCATATGACGATGATGAACAAAGAATGATCAAATCGCTTATCTGATTATTGAAGAATGGGCTTTGTATATTGAGATATTGGATCTAATAACAAGAATGCATGGGCTTAATCATTAACTCGCATGAACAGTAATTGATTCGTGATTTGGGCTCAAACATAGATCATGAACAGTAAGTTGTATTTTGATTGGGCTTGTCACGAATTGATGAATGGTTAACTGAATTTGAAATTGATTTTGATCTCAAATAACATCGTGAACAATAACAAATTGAGAATTTTTGGAATTATGATCTAAAAAAAATTTAATTGGATCATCAAAAGGATTTGAAACAAATTCGATCCAATGAATCAAAACGATCAAAAATCAAAAAGCGTAAGGCACGATTCAAATATTACGAGAGATCATAGAGAGAGACTCACCAAAATTGATCAAATTGCGACAAAAATTTGCCAAACCGAGAATCGTTTTTCAAAAGTCACGTTGATCGTGAAAACCAAGCTCTGATACCAATTGTAGTGACAAAGAGCATGGTTTGGTATGCGGAATTAAAGCTTGCACAATTGAACATGATGATTTGGGTGTTCAAGAGATATGTTGAATGTATATGGTGTTTACAAAAAGGATCTAGATCTAGACTATATAATTAACACACACTTACACACTCACTTCTACATCTCTCAAAGCACACATCTACAAGTGGACAAACCCACCTTATATAGAGGTGTTTACATGTCTCTCTCTTACTCTAACTAACAAATTGGTCTAAAGGCTAAAGCACCACATGCAAGTGGGTTTTACAAAAGTCAAACATTTACAAAGTCATAAATAAATAACTTTGCAACCCCAACAAAAAGTTCTATCTCCACCATTATGACCTGCAAATGCACATACATGTATGTCTTGTAAGTTTTGCTTGTTCTTAAAGAAACATTCATATTTTAAAGAGGTTTTTATCTCAACAACTATCCATTTAGAATTATTATTTTTTAATGTTAGTACTTATTTATATCAAAAAAGTTTATATAAAATTTTATAATTATTTTCTCCTTTATAAACAAACATGTATGTCAACATATTTCGATACCAAACCGCAAAGTTCGTTATACAAATGGTCATTGGTAAGAAACGGATCCGAACTGATCACCAATAAAAGAATTAACATTTTCTAGATTTCATTATACAAATAGTCTAAGTGTTTATATGAAAGTTGTAGTCCCAGACAAAATTATAGAAACCAAATTTTATAGTTCGATTTTTCAACGCCAGACAAGTTGAAATCGAACAAAAAAACAAACTGAATCTAAATTATAAAAAACTAAATCAAAAGTGTTTTTAAACTGAAAATTAAAATTGAATTATAAAACCCAAAATCAAATGGTTTTCCAAAAAAAAAACGTTACGTTTTGACATTATTAGATGATATTTATAGACAAGATATTATATAGTTTGATATTTTATTTAAAAATTGGTGACTTATTTAATATAAATTAAAACTAAATGGTTAAACTGATAGTAATAATAATAATAATTTTTTAATA